AGTGCCAAAGGAAAACTGCTGTTGTGTGTTCACACTGACAGCTGCCTGTGCAATAGCATGTTCACACTTGTGGCGCTATTCAGAGCAGTGCACTCTGGGCAGCTATCCCACAGAGCACCTTTTTCTCTTTTGCCGCTAAGACTTGTGAAAAGGCGGAAGGGGTCGCGAGGCATCCTGGGTCCTGTCCCAATGCCCCATGATGCATTGCTTCGCATCCCAGCAATCCCTTCCGTCCACATTTGGCGCCATCTTGCAATGGTTTGTGTACTGTGCGCCCTGCCCTGCCTCTTTCTTTCTGGCTGCAGGAATGGATCTCGAGCTGTTGACCAGAATGCTGCTCGCACTGACCAACACGTCACGAGTGGCAGTGGAGTTATTCCTTAAACTACAAAGGCCAGAGGAGTGCGACATTGATCTCGCCACGCATACTAGCTATGACACAAAATTGCTTGTGGCATTCACAGAGGTGCTAACCATAGTGGAACACTGCTTATGGGCTCAGGGAAACAAGCACTGAGTGGTGGGATCACAGCGTGATGCATATCTGGGATGATGAGCAGTGGCTGCAGAACTTTCGGATGAGGAAAGCCACATTCACGGGACTGTGTGATGAGCTCGCCCCAGCCCTACGGCGTAAGGACACAAGAATGAGAGCTGCCCTGTCACTGGAGAAGTGCTTAGCGATTGCACTGTGGAAGCTAGCTACTCCAGACTGCTACTGATCGGAGTGGGAAAGTTGACCGTTGGACTTGTGTTGATGGAAGTGTGCAGGGCCATTAATCGCATCCTGCTCCAAAAGACCGTGACTCTGGGCAACGTGCGTGACATTGTGGATGGCTTTGCACAAATGTGCTTCCCTAACTGCGGAGGGGCGATAGATGGCATGCACATTCCAATTCTGGCACCAGACCACCTAGCCACCGAGTACATTAATCGCAAGGGGTATTTCTCAATGGTTCTCCAGGCACTTGTGGATCACCATGGATGTTTCACAGACATTAACGCAGGCTGGTCCAGAAAGGTGCATGATGCATGCATCTTTCAGAACACTGGCCTGTTCAAGAAGCTGCAAGCAGGGACTTTCTTCCCGGACCAAAAGATCACCGTAGGGGAAGTCGAAATGCCCACTGTGATCCTGGGAGACCCCGCCTACCCCTTAATGCCGTGGCAAATGAAGCCATACACGGGGCAACTTGACAGCAGCAAGGAGCGGTTCAACAACAGGCTGAGCAAGTGCAGAACGATTGTGGAGTGTGCATTTGGCCGTTTTAAAAAGTCCGCTGGCGATGCCTGTATGGGAAGCTGGACATGGCTGATGACAATATTCCTATGCTTATAGCGCGTGCTGTATGCTCCATAATATTTGTGAAGGGAAGGGCAAAAGCTTCACTAAGGGCTTCATTCACTTAGCGCCTGGAGGCTGAGGCTGAACAGCCAGAGACCAGGGCTATTAGAGGGGCCCAGCGCAGGGCCATAAGGATCAGGGAGGCCTTGAGGCAGCAATCTGAAGCTTAAAGCCACTAATATTTGTTGCTATGCTCTGGATTGCAGTGCTTGTAATGCTAGGAGGTGATTGGGGCACATGATGCAAGAAGGGGCCTTAACATAATTGTATGTTGTTTTGCAGTGCTCTTTTTGCTTTCACTTAATAGAATAAAGATTGCTTTCAAACAAACACAATTCTTTTATTGAAAGACAACAACCAGAGGAGAGAGTCAAATGAAAAAAATCATCAGCAGGGACGGAGATGGAGGGAAGGGAAGGTCTCAAGAGGAGGAGGTGTCCTGGGACTGCTACAGATTTCTGTATGTCCAGGGATCATACCCAACCTTCTCCTTTGGAGTATGATGCAGTGGGTGCTGTACTTCAGCAGGGCCAAACTGCAGAGGGATGGGTGTTGAGGGTAGTGGGAGTCCACACTGCTGGACAGTAAGGAGGGAGGAGTGGAATGCTGCGGGTAGAGAGTGTAGCCAGGAGGTTGATGAGAGAGAGAGAGAGAGAGAGAGAGAGAGAGTGTGTGTGTGTGTGTGTGTGTGTGTGTGTGTGTGGTGCATGGGAAAGAGTTTTGCGACAGCGGCTGCAGGGGAGAGTGGGCGCAGAGCTGCTCCTTTTGAAGAGCTAGTATTGCCTGGAGTGTGTCTGCTTGGTGCTCCATAACTGTTAAGAGCCGCTCTGTGGCTTCTTTCTGGTGTGCCGCATTCTCCTTTCGGTCCCTCTTCTTGCTGTCCCGCCACTCCTTCAATTCTTTTTTCTCGGCGGCGGGGTGCATCATAACCTCATACATAAAGTCCTCCCTGGTTCTTCTTGAATGCTTCCTAATTCTTCGCAACCATTCTGCCACCGATAAAGAGTGAGGCTGTGCTCCCAAGGTCATCTCTGTGAAGTTTAAATGCAACATTTTACAAAGCAGTATTGTTTGCAACACAGACAACACTGTTTCAGTTCTTTAAAACACAGCCAGTACTCTAACACCTGTCACTAACTGGCTGACCCCAGGCAAGCACACATAAGCCACAAGACCCAAAAATGGTGAGTAGTCGCAGGGGCAGGGTAAATCACTGTTCCCGAACCCTGCTGTACACTGGGCACGTGGCTCTTGGGCACTTGGGGAGAGCCAGCACTTTAGAGTGGGCCTGATAATCATTCCTGTCCCCACCCTTTCCACAGGAGGTGATCATTATGGAAGATATCTTGCTGCTGAGGGTGAGCAGGGAATCAAGAGAGGGTCTTCTCCAAGCCTGCGCCTTTCGCCCTGGCCCCTCTGCGGCTAGCCTGCATGCAGCAATGGTCCCCCCCTTCCACCCGTAATGGCACAGTGGTGTGGGAAAGTTACTGTTAATGGGGCAAGAAACAAAGCAGCACTGCTGAGAAACCTGCGGGAGCGGATTGCCCAGTATCTGCACAAGAGTTTCCTGGAGATCTCTGAGGGAGATTCCTGTGAAGTGAGGGAGTGTATCAACAGCCTCTTCCACTGCTCAAACTAGGCATGAGGTGGGAGACAAGCCTGCTTTCTGCAACCCTCCTGCCTCCAACAACTCACTTCAGCAATTCCCCAAATCAGATCCACATACCAGGGGCCTCCTCTCCTATTTGTGCTTCGCCAAGATCCGACTGCTGTGACTGGCTAGGCTCCTCCGGGGTAGAAAAGAGCTCCTGACTGCATGCATCTCTGGCCTCCGAGTCATCCTCTGCTTCTGGGTCCCCCCCCACCCCCTTCATCCAAGATTGCCTCCTCCTGGCTTGGTCCATTCTCGACTGGCATGGAAGCCAATGAAGTATCCACAGGGGACTTCACAGTGGAGGTGGGGGTCACCACCGAGTATCGCGTCCAGCTCTTTGTAGAACCGGCAGCTCGTGGGTGCAGCACCGGAGCAGCGGTTTGCCTCCAGCATGTTGTGGTAGGCGTTCCACAGCTCTTTCACTTTGATCCTGCACTGCAATGTGTCCCGGTCATGGCCCCTTTCTGTCATGCATTGTGAAATCTGTCCATAGGTGGTATAATTCTGACAGCTGGAGCACAGCTGGGACTGCACAGCCTCCTCTCCCCAAATGCTGATGAGGTCCAGCAGCTCAGCATTGCTCCAAGCGGGGGATCGCCTGGTGTGTGAAGCAGGCTGGCCACCTGGAAAGATGCACTGAGACCACTGCGCTCATCACCGAGCAAACAGGAAGGGGTCTTTCAAATTTGTAAAGGAATGTATGGCGAGGGGCTGATGGTTGGTCACCTGAGGGCAGGGCAGTAGAGTTCAAACTGATGGCCAGAGCAGTGAGAACAGGCATTGTGGGACATCTCCCAAAGGCCAGTCGCAGCGCTGTAATCCCCACGGTGTCTATATAGGCACTGTGGCGCTGTAGTCCCGGCGCAGAAAGCTGTACGCCTCTCATCGGGGTGGTTTTTTTTAGAGCGCTGCATCCGCGCAGTTTCCGGATAATAAGTGGCTTGGCCGTGTGTACACCTCAGGAGTTACAGTGCTCAAAGCTGCTTTACTGTGCAGAAGTAAATGTTGATGGGGCCTAAGTTAAGTGTGTTGGTTTTCAGTTTCAGTATATAGCAAACACTGAGAGGTTTTAAGGGAGTATAATAGGTAAGCAGGTTCTGGTGTTCATAAGGCTCTCAACTGTGACACAAGCGACAAAGAATTCCTAGTGGGGATATTCTAGTATGACAATGTGTTTAGCTAATGGGTCATGTGCAGGACCCCAGCCCTCTCCTTTAAGGAAATACTTGATGAGAGAGGACACTACAGGTGCAGTAAGGAATACATCCCCCATGCTGCACTGCCTTGTTGCTCGCTGCTCTCCGTGTCTCAGTGGTGTGTCACTGCAGGGTGATGGGGCCTTGGTGCAGTATTTTATGGGAGTTTTATTTCTTTTGGGTCTTTTAGTTCTAGCTAAGTACAGTTGGGGGGGGGGCGATGGAGTCAAGTAAGGGCAGGAGGCGGTGTGAGGAGGCACAGTGCGGTACGGGCGAGACATGTTAAATACTTTCTGCAGCCCCCCCACGCCGGTGCTTGCAGGTGACCTCTCAGCTGAGCCCTGCTCTGGCCGCCCCTCCAGGCTGCTAGCGGAGCGCTGTGTTGAGGGAGGCCCAGCCCCCTGGATTGGACGGAGGGGGAAAGCAGCGACCTTCCGCGTTGCGCGGGGCTGAGCGCTGTGAGGAAGAGCGGCAAGAGCGGGTCGGGAACGGAGCAGGCGGCTCGTTCCCTCCCCGCGGGAAACAGGAGGCACACAAACCCGCTCACGCCGAGGAGTTTAAAAGAGAAAGTGCGCATGCTCAGAGAACCTACTACAGTGTCCGTCTACCGTGTCTCACCGGCGATTGGTCAAGTCCCCCCACTAACTCTCCCGATGATTGGCTTGACAATAAGGTGACGTTTGAACGGTCCCGCGTCGCTCACGGGCGAGCACTGGTGGTTGGTGGAGCAGGCTGTCTGTCCTACGACAGGGCCTGCGCCCACCCCCAGCGGGACAGAAGCGATTGGCCCCGCCCCTTGCTCGGTCGCTGGGTTCGTGCTGTGTGAGGCCTCCCCGCCCCCCTGCACTGTTCCTCCGGGCCCTGTCGCGTCGGGATGAGCCGCGCTTCCCCATGGAGACCAAACGGGTCGAGATTCCCAGCAGCGTCCTGGACGATCTGTGCAGGTAGCGGAGATCCTGCCACCCCCCCCCCCCCCCCCCCCC